TTTTAGTATTTTGTGTTGACATCTGCTGATTAATTATTAAGCTACTTACCTGCAATAATAAATGAGCAGATGCCAAAATAAAACACGACCGATCAAAAGACTTACCAATCTTTTGTATTCAAACTGATAGCAGTAAAAAAATTCCTTAAATACATATTAATAGTCATATAAATTATACACATATGTTAAATATAAATAAACCTTAAATTTATACAATGCGATACAAAAACCATCATGAACTCTAATCCAAAAGCTAACATATCTTTATTTTACTAAGGATTTAATCTATTTTAGATGCACCCCGTATCAGCTCGATTATTAAATTACAAGAAGAGTGAGTAAACAGTATTCTGTTACAGAAATAGCAAGAAATGATTAAAACATATATCGCTATTGGGATTTTACATTGAAAAAAAAAAAAAAAAAAAAAAAAGCTGAGTGACGATATATATTTCTCGCCCTTTTGTTCAGAGCGCTGACTGGAATACCAAGCATGGCTATTTTTCATGCTCTTCCGCAGATGTTTCTGTTTCCAATATGTTTCTGAGGCAGCAGGGCTTGTGACCATTATTAAATTTTACTAACAGTTAGATTTGAATTAAATTCTATCCTATTCTTCTTAACTCAGTCTAGAAAACTATGCAAGTTTAATAGAGTATGTAATATTTTAAAAGAAAAAGATTAATAGTAAATGTAGATGTTATTGGAACTTTTGCCATTTTGTCTTTGTGTCTGACACAGTAGTAGTTTCACCTGTGTCCGTGAACGGTTTTAGTTTAGTCAGTCACTGTGCCTATCGTAAGTTCTTTATGGTTTGACAATTAGCAATTAGATGTTTAGTCTTGAATTTAGAACTTTGTTGTAAAACTTAGTGACTAAGACAATGATGAGTTATATGTTTATGTTAGTGTCGTCGCTGGGATGAACATTCAATTTAATTTTATCACAGAAGTTATAACTACTGCTTTTGCATGATGGTTATAGCAAATGCATGTCCTTCCTTCCCACTTTCCGCTCACTCTGCTTGGTATTCCACGATATGAAGCGTATGACTACTTCACTGACAGTCAGATACATTTATCCCAAAGAGGAATACTCGCACGTATTTTCCACTATTAAAATAGGTGATATTTACAAATTAGAATTCCATGACTTATGAATCGCAAGGTGGCGTACTATAAGAAAAACATAGGGAAGCGGATGGCATTCTATCACAAAATGAGAATGGTGAAGTGAGCAATATAAGTTGAAAAACAATGTCACATACTAATATAACTTAGCATTCTGACATCGTTTCAAATACTTTTACAGCTTTTATCCCTTTAAACTTTAGTTAAATTTCCTATATACTTTTATGAGTAAAGTGCTACTAAGGGACTAGCATAGAGCTAAAGATATTAGAATTACCTCAAGGTATGCAGAAACGTAATAACGTAAAAGGGAACTATCGCAATAAAACTAGATAATTGGATAAGTTATCCGGATTTTGAAAAAAGAGCCTAGCCTTATTACCGCCAAATTCAAAGAGAAATCGCTCGCTCTCTAAACTGTAAGTAAAATCTATGAGAAACTGGCTATAATAGTAATATAATAGTCCTCAAAAATTTAAAATCTGTATTTGAGTTCCATTGAAAATATAGGTAATCGGTAGAAAGAATGACTCTTTTCTAAAATAATGAAACGTTCGACACTATTCATGGCTGCATCAAAAGTTTCATACCTGTAAACATTAGATGCTGTAGATATTCTTTAACTGTAAAGAAGATAGTTTGGGAATGCTAGAATATAATTGGTTGCGATGGAGAAAGAAAGTGTTTCGTTTGTTTTGTCTCGCACCAAACACTTAAACATATGCTGAAATTACTAATATATTTACAAGAGCTTTAATCTATTTTTAAGTTACTAATTTAGTTTCAAATAAGTTTGGTTTCTAATGTTTTCATTCACAGAAGGTTTAACTGTGTACCTGTAATCTTTTCACGTAATATATAGATTTTGAATTATTATAGTTAAGAGTCAAAAAAACTTCCACCGAGTTTGTCAAGATATGGGTTATGGTTTAGCAACATTAAGTCATCTTGAGAATGCCCAAGTATGTTTCCTGATCAGATTTCACTATTTTAATTGTTGAAAATGCTACTACTAGTCAACTACAATTACTTGCATTTCTCAATGAAAGTTGCTTTAGTGGTATTTGAAACGGATGCATTCTGTCTAAGAGTCTAATTCTGTCTAATTCTGTCTTTGAAACGGAGAGGATGTGACATATTTTCTTTACTAAAATTTATAAGGTTGCTTACATATTTAATAAGGCTTTTAATTTGGTTGTAAGTAAAAAAAATTTTGGTCATTTGATTTATCAACAAATGGTAAAAGTAGACTAGTTATTAAAGCCTTGAAAATATTACCATCTAGAATTACTGCATTTAATAGCAACTAAAAGAATAAATTAAATATTATTTCTTACTTAGCAATTTGCTACCTCATGGTTTCAAAACAAATGCATTGATGGTTTCTTAGCAAACATGCAATAAGTTTTTGAACAGAAGATTTCTGTTAGGCGTTAAATTAAATATTATAATTTCGAAACACATCCGTTGAGAAACTGCTTAAATCGTTCCAGTGTTGTTAATATAATTGAAACTAAAGCCTTAATGCAATTTAAAATTACTAATATAGCTGCATCATATCATTTCAAAAGTACTAAAATAGTATTGAACCGAAGATGATATAGAACACTTTTATTGGATGGAATTCGTGAACCCTCTGCTCCAGCAATTCTCATGATTCGAAACGGTTAGAATCTGTTGTATTTATTTGTGGATTTGTTACAATCCCGACTGAAAAAATTTTTAAACCCTCTACCGCGTTTTTTGCCTTTACAGCTTTGTTAATGTTTTATATTCAGTTGCATTGTAGCTCTTCAGGATGTCAACTGAAAACCCAAAATGCTCAGAACGCAGTATATAGACATAAGCGGAATTCGCTATCTGTTATCACTAAGCGCTAACAAGTACAAGCAGTATTCGTTATCTATGGCTGAGAAAGCAGTCTGTGAAAGCGGTATGTGAGTACTATGGGGTTGGACTATCAACCGTGTAATCAGAAACACTACAAGCATCTACTATAAACATCCACTTAGGTTTTTAAGTTTTATATTACAGCACAATGAAAACGTTCTTTACAAGCATTAATGAATATTCTTTTTTTCTTGTTTTCTGTTCTGCCTGTGATATCTCACTATTATGTATTTGGTAAGCAAATCTAAAAGTCTGTCATCTATGTATTTACTCACACATAAGAACTCCTAAAGGGGTAGCTTTCTGTTTTGCTCTAATTTTTCTCAAGGGAATTCTCAAGGTTGTCAGATTTAAGAGGTACAGCCGATGTATGAACAGTAGAGTTTTTATATAAGACAGCTTTGCAGTTTTAAGACCATTTTGAATAAGTTATCAGATCCAAATGCAACTGATCGGACATGAACTTAATTTCTAAAGGCACAATCAATCTTTCAGGTTAGCATTGGCCTGGAGTTAGTTTAAGTCACTTCTAAATCAAGGGATCTCGTAATTTAAAATGATATTTCTGGAAAAAAGTTTAAAAATGTTGGCTAGATTAAGTTTCTGAAATATTGCAAAGCATACGAAGACTAAGAGTAAAAGCAAGCTATTACACTGCCAGTTCGATGAAATAATCGTCATCGCTCAGTGCAAAAGCATAAAGTCTGACCGAACCGGATTTGTGAGATATTATTCCACCGAGTGTTGCAAGGGAGGAGGTAAGTTCGTCTCGTACCCGTCGTTACTTCGTTTTCGCACGTGTAAGCAATGAATGTGTCATTGAGTTCTTCAAATTCTAATTCTCTACAGATATTCCTGTGTATGTGAAAAACCTTACTGAATTGCGAGTTCTACACAGCTTTATCTTCATGGAAATAAAATGTTTTCCAAATGACGTATTTGACCAGTTTCATCTATCGGTCACCATGTGCTGTGGGTGAACTGCTGCATTTATAATGCCCCCAAAAATTCTTCGTGCTGGCTAAAAATATTCCAAGTGATTTAAAGAAAATGTCATCGACATAATTTGGAAGAGTAATAATTTTTTGTCATCATAATTAGTTAGCAAGGTAAAGAATGATCAAGATATGTTTTTTTCATTCTCATATAACTGATAATTTTGGCATACGATACAACGATATTTATATATTTATTCAATATAATTATTTATATTTATTGCTTATTCGGCACATTCAATGCATTTTAAGTAATTATTCTTGGAGACAGTATTTTATACTACGTTAAACTTAACTGCTGCCATTGTTGTGGCTTGAACTTGTACAGAAACTTTAAATACTGATTAATATCGTTTTATTTATTTATTTTTTTTTGTTTTCAGAATGGCAAAAAAATTATTATTCAGTTTTTGTTTTTTGAGAATGGCAACAAAGATTATTCAATTTTTGTTGTTCTTGGAATGGCAACAAAAGATTACTAATGATATTGTTCTAAAGAGTTGTTTACATTTGCTAAAACGAAATAAAAATTATTTTTGATTTAAAACGTGGATTGACGTTATTTGATGAAACAGAATTGTAAAAATAAAGATTAATTTGGAGTCAGAGCCAATACCATAACCTTTGACCCACCGTCACAACACTAAGGGAATTGATGCCTTTGTGCAGCAATGGCTGTGAAAACTGGCTGAAATTCACATAACATGAAAACCAACAGTACAACCAGCCGGTTTGTATGGGTTCGAACCCATATCGAATGAACTTTCAAATGTCAGCAATCTTAACCACACGGCCACTGTAGAGTTTTCAAATATTGGATAAGATTTTGTAAAATAAATAGAAAGATAATGTTATTTAGAAATAGAAATATAATTAATGTTATTATTTTATACAGTAAAAAATAAGCAGATGAACTGCAGATAGGAGCGAATAATCAAATGGAAAGGAGAGATGTGAAATAAGCAAACAAACTCTACGTACGTACAGGTCTCGCATACAGGCTCCTTGGGTTTCCACTTTCCTCTCACACACCTGGCTGTCCGGTTTCCGATGTTGAGTTTATGCCCTTCTGAACACGTGACGTTGATGACGGTGCCGTGCGGGAGCGAGTCATTGCCTCTCCCCATTTTTATGATCTCTACCTCCATCCAGTTCGTTTCGCCAAGAGAACATGGCTCTGAGAAAAAGAATAAGAGAAATTCAAGCATCTGGTAGCATTAAGACTAAAATACATTTTGATCGAAATGATATGCATAAAACATGGAAAACCACAACGTAAAACAATTGCTTCTGCTACAGATTCAGTGATGCGATAGTGGCTCAGAATTAAATGTATACTATCAATTACGAAATTAAGAATTAAATGTATTGAATTAAATTTGTTTCATATTTTCCCTTTCGATAACAAGATTGATACTTTCATGAAATTTAAAGTTTTCAATTCTGCTTGTAATTAATACTTCAGTAAACTAATCTTGATTTCAAACAGTTAAAGCTTAGTTTAGAATTACGAAAAGCTGAAGAGTAATTTTAGCGAGTAACAGGGCAAAGTGCAAAACATGTTGTAGGTAAGTAAAGCATGCTGTCGGTGTAAGATCAGTATTTCTGGCAAAGAGATTGCACGCCGTATAGCAGTTAAAATCACACCGAGTTGCTGCCTCAGCGAGAAATGGCGAATAATCAATCTGTTAGACGACATCTGGATGCTTTTACCCGAGGTCGAATCATTGGGAAGTTAGAGGAAGGCCGCAGTGTGACAAGTGTGGCTGCAGAGTTCGGAATTGCTCACAGCATCGTTTCACGACTTTGGAGACAATTTCAAACTACAGGAACAGCTATCAGGGGGTTTAGTAGTGGTCGTCCACGAGGAACCACACCCGCAGATGACCGGTATATTGCCTTACAGGCCAGAAGAAACAGGCGGCAGACAGCGGGAGAAATCGCTAGACACACGATACAGGCGACTGGACGACCGATATCGCGTTTTACCGTGGCCAGAAGACTGCACGGTGGTGGTCTGTTTGCACGACGCCCTGTACGGTGTGTACCTCTAACGCCTGCCCATCGGAGAAGGCGTTCTCTGTGGTGCCAGGAACACCGGAATTGGAGAGACTATGAATGGGGACGAGTACTCTTTACAGATGAGAGCAGATTCAGTCTGAGTAGCGATTCTCATCGCATACTCATCTGGAGAGAGCGGGGAAGCCGCAATCATCCCTCGAACATCATTGAAAGGGACAGGTATGGAGGTGGCGGTGTTCTCGTTTGGGGAGGCATCATGCTTGGTAGTCGTACAGACCTTCACATCTTCGACGCAGGTTCAGTCAACGGGACCCGTTATTGTAACGAGATCCTTCTTCCATATGTGCGTCTTTTTAGAGGCGGTATGGGTCCGCAGTTCCTTTTCATGTACGACAATGCACCATGTCATCGCACAGTAGCTGCCGAACAGCTCTTAGAGAGTGAGGATATTGAACGTATGGATTGGCCGGCACGATCTCCGGATCTCAATTCCATCGAGCATGTATGGGATTTTCTTGGCAGACGCTTGGCAGCTCGTACCTTACCACCAGTAACGATTCCGGAGCTTCGATTGGCGCTGCAAGACGAATGGGCAGCAATGCCTCAACAACTCATTGACACCCTCATTCTCAGCATGGGCAGACGCTGTGAAACCTGCCTAGCAGTCAGGGGAGATCATATCCCCTATTAAAGACCGGGTGTTTCTTGCTGGACACCCATCACAGGGATGTTTCGGCCTTCAGTCGCATTGCGCTCCATACTACTTTTTCAATAAAGCTTCTTTTTCTCCCTCTGATTTCTCTTTTAGTAAGTGTTGCTTACATTACTCATGTCCTTACGTATTGGGGATCTTACGGTATTAAATGCGTTGATTTGGAAAGCTTTTGTACAAAGTTATATTGAAAAAACCGTCTCGTCCTTAATTTTTGCACACCAGTGTATTTTGTTCGATAGAGAACTATATGCTTCTTTTATTATTAATTATTTTATTTTGACTATTTAGATGATAGTTCAACAACTACCATACCAGAAGGGCTTAGTGTAGTAAACCTGTTCAATTCTATGCGGGCGCGTAGCACAAATTTCACGATTTACCTATTTAAATTCCTACAGATAGGTACACAATTTTAACCTTGATAATAGTTATCTTTTCCTTCACGAGAAAATATAATTCTTCCTTTTTACTAAAGTATCATAATCGCGAAAATTTTTAGGCATGATATTTCAACGAAAATATCCATTTTGACCGCTATCAAAATGCAATTTAACGATGTTTTATGCGTGACATCTGTACGTAAGGACAGAATAAAAGACTCCTTTTCACCCATAAAATTATAAAACTGATTTAAAATGAATTCTGAAGACAATTTTTCGTGGCGTCTGTACGTAGATACGTATCTCGCATAACTCAAAAACGAGTAGCCTCAGGACGTTGAAATATTGTATATAGGACTGGTATAACATGTAGATGTGCACCTCGTATTTTGATTGCAATCGGCCACACCAAACGTATATAAATATATATTATCCACTCTGTTAACCGACTCAGTAATCTCAGTTTCTTTACTCTTATATGTTTGTAAGTTGTGCATTTTTTCTTTAAAAATGATTGATTTATGTTGTTGTTATCTTCCGGTTAAGGTTTTTATGTCTTTAGTAAATCTGAATGTAATATTTGTAGAGTTATCAACAATTTCAAAGTTGTTTAAGTGCAGCTAAGCCTAATTAATTTTGTGATGGTGAACATGTTTGTACGTTTTAAACTTGGCAAAATAGCGGATTTGTTGCCAATCTAGAGAAACTAAGCTACGCAACAACAAAGATAACGCCTTCTTTTATTATTGCGAATTAAATTATGTCTAATCCATTCTGGAATTTATTCGAGGAAATAAGTGTTTACTTCGTAATTTTTAATATAGATATTTTGAGTTTTTACGTATTTTTGCCTTATCGGGAAGTGAGAAATGAATTAATTGAATGAGAAATATTGAATCATTTGTGGAAAACTGTTTCTTTTTTGTTTTGCTTGCTTAATTTCTTTTACACATCGTTTTAGATTTTTTATAGTATTTGAATAGAACATGTGGCAACGATTAGAGAATTTTTCAAATGATATAAATTTATATGCTTTCTGAGTTATAATACGAACAAATGTAACGCTGTTAAGTGAACCTAGCGTCAGAGTGTCGCTATGGTAAGCAAATATAGTGAATTTATTTTATTGTGGTTTATGCGCCATCGACGAAGTAGATTTAATTCAATCCAATAACTTTAAATGAAATGCAAGGAAAATGCGTATAATTTAATATTCCGTGCAAGGAAGTCATGTGGCGTACACGTCGGATTTTTTTTTACTTTAAATAAAGCAGGATACTTTAACAAATAAAATTCTGCCACTAGCATTACAGCAATTAAGTATTAAATGTAATTCACAAGAAAATATAAAGCAGTTATTCGGATTTAAGAGTATTGTAATAAGTTACTATTCCATTTAGTCTGAATATTTGAAGTACTGCTGAATACCACGATGCGACAGAACATATTGTAATAAAACTCATTTATGTTTAGATTGTAACAAGCTCAAACGTTAAGGATACCTTTTGTTTGACTTAATCTAAATATCTGTCTGCCTGTCTAATACTTCTAGATGAACCAGTACGCACGTAAAAATAATAAATCTTTTCTCTCTTGTCTTCAGATTTTAACCATTAAGCATATATACGATCCAAATGGATACGGTTTCTATTATTTGAATACGATTTTACTTTCATTAATATTTCTACGTGATTTTTATTTCAAACAATTGCTTTGTTTACGTCTATTTAGTTCATTAAACTGAGAACTCGTTTACAGTTAACATTAGGTACCATAAAATGCCGTCAATATCCAATAATTTTGAAAATTCGGAAAATTGCCCATTCGGTAATGAAAATATTAGCATATCTGAAAAATTTAATATCAATTTACGCTTAATCTTTTTCACACAAGTTAAATTTAAAGTCATTGTATTGTTGTAGTTTAGATATCTTACCTCTGAATATGTTAAGTATTTTACGCAAAACGTCCCGACTAGTTCTGTAGTATAATTGAAATCACATGCATTTAATCTGGCGAAATCAAATGCTGCCCGTTCCTGTACTTCCTATTCAGGAAATCTTTCTCTAAATGAGAGCAACGCAAATATATAAAATTTATCACAGTATTATTGTCAGTTTCAACATTTTTCTCCTTGGCTTTACCCGGAAGAAGTTTCATTGCATTACTCTAAGGAAGGCTGTTGTGGTTAATATATTGTTCTTTAAGTTTATTTACTTTACCACTAACAAAGTAGTATTAAATCGCGCCACTCAAACATTTTAGACAATGCTGCAAGTTCTTCATAAAAATCATACATAATATATAAATTTACGTGATATTAAGCATTTTCCAATTTATGTAAGCAGCATTTTGAAACAAGATTCTTTGCTTCATCTTTATTAAAATATTTAATCAATACTTCGTAATTTTAAGCACTCCTTTTAGCTCAAAGAGCCTAGATAACCACCTAAATTCATTTAACGGTTTAAAGACAATAGCTTTATTTCGAAGGCAGTATCTTGAAACTTATCCCGCTTTTTGGGAGATCTAGAAAATACTGTGTATATCGTTCGAATCAAAGTTTCAATACGTCTGAGAAATTTAACTTCTTTTGAAGCATCGCAAATACCCAAATTTTCCCACTAAGCAACACAGTGTTGTTGAACAAAATATGGTACATTTTAAGTTTTAGTTTAGCTGCTGCTTCATTTATCTTTTATCTTAACCAGCATAGCTCCATAAGAAGTAAATATAACCTTTTTTCGTAAATTAGGTTTATTTACTCTATAAATTTATAAATTTATTGTATTGCAGAAACAACAGGAAAAGCATTACAAGATTTTAATTGAAATATTTCTACAAAAATAGTTTTAAAATAGTAATAATAATAAAAATACTGGTTATAGTGATAAAAATGTCAGCATCTTCTTCGACAGTTAAAAGTGAGAAAATTAGATGCCTTGAGTTTTTTAATGATGTTGATTTTTGCAATGGAACCAATAATTTCTAAAAGCGGTAAAGCATAATTCTTACTTCACTAGTTTTCTGGAATTTTAACATATTCTGTCACGTGATCACTTATACCTTGAAGAGAGTGCAATGGAATGATCATTTTTATTGTTAATAATACTTTATCAATTAATACTTTTGCTTATCACTAGTGGATTTTCTCATTTGAGGTTTATCTGGAATCGCATGTTAATTCTGTTGCCGATAGTAAGGGATATTTACTTCTTTTTTTACACTGTTTGCATAAGATTAATTAGTTAATTGCCATTTTAAAAATTCAATCCAATTAACTGTCTATTTTTTCACAAGAAAAAATCCATCACGACATTAAATATAAATAACTCTTTCCTTCATCATATAAAATATTTCCTATACTAAAATTCGTAATATATTTTCACTGTTTCTTGTCGCTCTTTCAATTATTTGATTAAGCCATTTGATTTTAAAATCATTTATCGTTTCTCGTCTTTTTACAAAGTTTTTCCATGGTTTATATATAAATATATGAACATACAGTATAATGCGTAAACACAAATATTGTTAGATACACTTGCGAACAATGTCCCACGTGATATTCTGTTTTTAACAATGCGCAGTTTAGGAGACAGCGAGCGTGCCAGCCATTGCCTGCAGTTGTATGCGCAGCACGGTTGCGCGTATTAAATACCTACGAATACATAACGAACATTATGATTTATTTTAAAAGTAATGTAAAATTTAATTATTACTGTTACTATCATTTTGATTAGTGACATGTTTGTATGAGCGTCTATTAATTTTCTATGTGCTCTAAAGTTCTGAAAGGCGTGCACGCGTAAACGTACATACCTTAGATGCTTAGAGGGAACCCTGCTTGCTCGTTATTTAAACTGATCTGAATTACATTGTATGGAGTAAACAAAACAGAATTAGAAAAGATTCAATGTAAGAAATAATGTATTAATTAAAATAAACCTTACAAGATTAAATAAAGTATTTCTTAATTTCTGAAAGTTGGGAAATTAAAATTAATCATTCTTACTGCTTAGCATATGAATGGTAAAAATGATGATGACAATAACACCATAAATGAAGTAGTGTTTAGACCTGGAGATGAGTAATAGTGAAATAAATCTGAAAACGTCCTGGCACAACAGGCATTGCCTTTGTTTGCGAGTGAAGGCGTGATTCATCAGTATAAGCGTTAACTACGCAGTTTCAGATTATCAAAAACATATATTTTCTGATGCAAAAATTAAAAAATATTTTAAAAGACATAAGATACTTAGATTTTAATTGAGGATGAAATTTTATTCCAAGCTAACTGTCCCAGATAGATTTTTTTATCCTTATCTGACTACAAATGGACTTGATTAGAAAATATACCATTTCGGATGCATTTAAGATTTTTTTCTTCCATAATTTTTATCTAAACTTTTTCTAACGTTTCTTCCTAGTTTTCGTGTTTTGTATTCGCAAACTAAGCCCACCATGCTAGTCGCTCTTCAACAATGCACAGTTTACTTGTTTTTTTGCGAAACTTTCAGTTTCTGTAACAATTATTTGTATGTAATTTTATTATCTTTTTACGTAAATTCAAAATTTTCTGTTGAATTAATTCCTCCGATATTTTATAAGCAACAGCATAAGTTGAACAGAGGGCTTTCCTTATTTGTTTAGTCAAGTTTAGGGACTGATTTTAGGATACTTCTGTTTTTTATTATCTCTTTTTTATGCATTTTCAATACTTGCAGCAATATGTCAGAATACTTTTAGCATATTTTTTGCAGGTTAAATAGAAAGCATTTCCGCTGAATTCCCATTATTCTGTGAAAAGTGTTCCTAAAATTACTAATTTCTCTCTCACTCGCATGATAACGTCTTCAACATATTTTATTTTCATAAAAGTTGCATCAAAGTATTTAACTTTTTTAAAAACACATTGGCACCAAATACTTCTTTCTTTTTAGCAAAATATCTTTGAATTTTGCATTCGTTTTTGTAGATTGAAGATTAAGAGTGAATATTTGATAAACACATTTTTCTACATTAATCTCCATTTCATTCCCGCCGTTTCAGTCAAAAATATTTGAGCTGAGCTATTTATTATTTTAGCAATTCATTTTTTTTAGTGGGGATTCATGTTCAAATAGCCAAATCATCTGCTTGTTTTCTGCATCTGATATTTTATGCTTCATCATTTTGGGGAGATCGTTTTCATAGTTATGAAATAGTGTAATTTTCACTTGTCTTTCCCTCAGCATTTCAAGTGCCGTATAAAAGAAATATTGTTGCGTGCGTAGGGCTTCGTAATAAATTGAATGCACAAGTGCGATGAAAAGTGAATAAAATGTATTCTTATCACAAGAAATGAAACAAAATGCAGAAATTTCCTCAGAGATATTCGTACAATATCGCAATATCTCACAGTAGTTGTATTTTAAACTACTAAAACTTTGAATAGAACTCAATTTAAAACACTGAGAAAGCTAATCCGATCTCACCGCGAATTCGCTACAGTCAATAACAGCAGTAAGTAAACAACTAAATTGAGATGTTTTCCTCCAGCTTTTATAAGCTTTTTAATCAGCACGAGAACATTCTGGTTTATTCTCGATTTTTCTGGATAGCAAAAGAGTACAATTACGAGATATCTATTTATCAAAATGTTAAATGCGCGTGCTCCTGTATTTTAATTTTTCCGGCACAGCTTTCTCTTCAGATGAACATCGTGCTGCATTGCACGGGAATATAAAACAATTTCAATTACAAATTCAACTAAAAATAGCTAAATAAATACATAAAACGTAAAAATATTTTCCGAAAATTTTCTTACGTATAACTAGGCATAATATGAGAAAATGTAGGAATGGATTGGATTATTCAGTTATGGCAAAGCACACAAGGGCTATCTGCCTAAAGGGAGGGATGCCTTTCGTGGAGGACTTTCCAAGGGAAACCGGCTCGTATACACGTTACACATGGGCAAAACCACGAAAGCGCCCATGCAGCCAGCCGTTCGCGGGATTCGAACCTCGGACCGAACTACCAGTGTTCAGCGCCTTTACCGCTCGGCCGCTGCTGAGCTCCTGAGGAAATATAGAGATGTAATTAATTAGAACATTGCATACGAAGTCTATCAACGTGGAACATACGCTGTAAACTGATTAGCGGTCTTTTTGAAGCAGGAGACGTGAAAAATGTGCAGTACCCTCTCCGGGACTCAAACCCTGGGACTCTCGAATAAACCACGAAGTCATGCAGAAAGGACGGAGAAAATACTTTATAACGTATGTTAACAACTTTCCAGAGTAAACCGGTAGGCATTATATGTTGAGAAACTAAGAAAATACCCGTAGATTTAAAATGGCTTACGCAGTTCCTTAGTCAAAAAAGTATCCGCTCGAGAAAAACTAAAAAAATACCTGCACAGGAAAAATGGCTAAAGCAGTTCCTGGGTAAAAATAAATTATATATAAATTGCACCTATCTTTTTTCATTTTCCCACCCCCATTCCGTCATTCCGTAAATTCCATTTACTTTTTCTCTTGAAAAAGGCGTCTGCTCACTGCGTTTATTTAAAGAACAATAAGGAATGAACTTCGAAATAGCTAAGTAGAATGGGGACAACTCTTTCTACCTGCATAAAACACTATTTAGGAACATAAAAAAGGAATATGAAAGAGGAAAACTGTTAGGGAATATGAAAAGGTTGAAAATAATCAAATAGTTTATATCTTGGAAATCATTTTCAAAACTGAAATTATTTGCAATACAAATAGTAATCCATATGAAGACAAAATAATAAAGAAAATAATTTATTAATCCATTTAAATGAGAATCTCACACTTTGAAATGAGAGAATGACTCAGTTCAAAATCGGGAGGTTCATCTCTGTTACGTCTGTACTAATAATGGAGCTTTCGAATAGAAAACCATCTGAAGGCTATAAAATAGGAGATTTTCTTGATAAATTTATCTGAATGTATAGTTGATTTAACATGAAAAGTAATTTGTACACTCACCCTTAATTATCCTCTCTTTGCTTCGCGCACCCTTGCCTCTCCTTTTCCTCTTCCCTCCACGTCTTCTACGCCTCATGAAAAGTTCCCTTCTTCTCCTGTGGGTGGCGAGGTCAGGGTGCGATTCGGATACACATCTGAATAGAAACGAAAGTAAAGATTTAAAACATACTCGAACGACATTATTAAATTTCATTTCTGCCAAAGAATTTCGATAAGTTTATTTTCTGAACAATAAATGTTGCAAACAAATTAAAATAACAGTGCAGATTTTTTTTTCAAATAAAATGCATATATATTTAATATAGTTACTCATTTTAAAGAGAAAAGGTCAATATCGAACTTGTAAGTGTCTGCATAAACTATTTTGATACGTACGAATTATTTAATTATCTGTGAATTTCAATGCTGAGTGAAAAAAGTCAAAAACATGTCACTAATTTAATATATGAATGACGACGAAAGGTATAATTAAAAATTCGAATCTTTCAATACAATGGGAAGAATTTTATGGATATGAAAACTTCTACATATTCTAATTCAATGATTGATGAATTTTTTACTTAGTAATCTTGCTAGATAAAAAATTACTTTAGGCAATGAGGATGGTTTATAAGATTTTCTTTAAAGTATGTTTAGTACTTTTTATTATTAAATTTTAAGCATTTCCTAGTTCAATAACGTAATAAACGTTTAAAAATTCTGCAATTCAAGATCTATGAATTCTGCATGGATTTATGTTAGTTTGCTTGTTTGAATACGACAAGGGTTATGACAACTAACTGCCTAAAAGGTCGGACATCTTCTGGGATAACTAGAAATTGGGCTTGCACTCACGTTACACATGGAAACAAGTCACAAAAAGTGTCTATCCATCCACCGGATGCGAGCTCGAATTCATATATAAATAGGCTTATTAAAGAACAAAGAATGATTTATTAATGAAATATAACTTGTGTTAAATTTACGCACTTATATAACTTATAAGAAATAAGGTTAAAGACTAAACTATTTCAGTTTATATTAATGAAGATATGTCATTTAAAAGAATAGTGGAAATATTTTTCCCTATACGGATAGTGTCAGTAGCTCCTCGAGTTTTTAAAGCAGTGGGCATTATGCATCATTCTCAAGAATCTTTGACTCTTGAATTCTTATATCCTTGTAATTGCTGCTAAAAAGCAGAAAATCTTTTATGCTGAAATACTTTCAGAAAGCTTCTGCGTTCATATTGCTATAATGTGATATTATCTTTTTCACCAGTGCGCTGTCATTAATCCAAGGACTCCCATCCTAAATGGAATAACAGGGGTTTCAATAAAGAGGGAGTGTGTCCTTGAGAGAGACGTTATATTCTGTAATTGTGGGAGTGAATATACTTTTATATTATACGTTATTAGTAAATAAATAAGTCACCATCTATCACCAAAGAAATCAAAATTGAAGTTTCCGTTATTCCAAATTAATCTGTCTGTAGACAGAGAGAAAGTAAGGGTTGCAATTATAATTAATTAATTAATAATAATAAACGGAATTATTGTTTTGAATATGAAAAAACTTAAAGATATAACTTTCACCAACTCAGAAAAATCTGTGGAGGATTTAGCTGGATCCGTATAGGGAGATACGTTATAGAACATATAATTCTCAGACTGTCAATATTATGCATGAAACTGATTGTTTGGTTCCTTTCTCCATGCATATCATCCACGATTTTTGAAACAAAACCTTAAAGTCCATTTGTAAAACATGTAATATGCACTGGGAAGGAATGCTGTAAATTTCTTAAATTTTGTTGTTGTTGTATTGTCCATATTACATGGAACAATGGCTGCCAGAGCCTACCCCGAAGAAAGGTTGGATTTCTATTTTAAACCCCTAATTTCGAGGTAGAACACCCAGGGGGATTCGGAGGTCTCCCACTCCTCTTCCCTTCCACCAATCCAAACGAGAGGACTTTCGGGTCGCCGCATATTTAGAGTGCCGCCATGCCGCACCGACACTATACATTTACAAGCATCCATGTCTTCTCCGGGATTCCAACCCGGGCCTTTCGGTACCGTAGTAGGCTCCATTAATCACTATACCGTCTGGGCTACATTTCTTAAGAAATAATATCTGGAATAAAATTTTAAGGATAGAACTGTGCATTTTATAAACAGGAGGAATAAATTTAATCAAATATTTATGTAATATACGTGCAAGGTTGCAACTAATGGAAGGAAATAAAATAATATAAAACAATATGTGCATGAGAAGTTTCAGATGATTGATATCAAGTAATTAATTCCTGGTCAAAATTTGAATTAGTTGAAGATTAATAGTTGAATTAGAAGACAAACTGATAAAGGTTTCCGAAGCTCAGTAGTGCAGGATCTACGTCCGATAGAACCTGAGATAAATAATCATTATTACTATCAGAGACAACCTTCACTGACAGCGAGGGTGTCGCCATCTTACTTAAGTGCAGTTTATCTATCGAAAGTTTAATTTTGTATGCTAAAGTATAACTCTTTCACTATAAACGCAGCTTTACAAGACAAATAAATTAATATTGCACTTAATTGCCTGAAGCAGTAAGGCGATATATTAGGGTCGGTGAGCTGTTGACTTTTAGGTAGCTTATAAAGAAAGTTCCAAAATAAACACAAAATCCTTGGATGGAAAAAATAAAATAACTTCCTTATTTGACAACGGTCTGCAGTAAAAAATCAGAGTTTAACATAAAACTGCTCTTGTCAAACAATTAGACTATTCATCATATCCTAAAATGAGCTGTAACTCTGTAGAGTCATTAGGTATTTTTGATGAAGGAGAAATGACAAATGTGCAATGTCCTAGCAGGGATGCGAAGTCAGGTCCTTTCGATTAAGCTTCGTGTGCTTCCACTTACACTAGGAAGGCACGTGGAAAGGGAGGAGAAAATATCTTACGCACTTACCCTTTTAAAGGAGACTGGTATCGAGGGTATCAAATCATCAAGTCCTGGTGGTGATGAATTATCATCCACTACCTTCTTTATTTCGAGCGAGCGACACGTGTAGTTATCAGATTTTTTTTAATTGGAGGAGAAGTGAAAATTGTTCACTGGCCTCACCGTGATTCGATCTCTGGATCTTCCGATTATGAGTCGTACGTGCTTCCTGTTACACCACGAAGGCATGCAGAAAGGAGGGAGAAAGTACTTTGTAACTCTTCCCCATTTAATTATTTAAATAAGAGCACCTGTATCATTAACAACTATTTGTTACCAAAGTTGTTATTAACCAACTAGAATTTTCCCCTTTCCCACTGCATGCTCACAATCAGCGCCATTTCATTAATTTACAACCAGGTTGTAAAAGTCAAATACTCAGAGTATTCCAAATTAATTTTAGTTGTATTTAAGCTGAATTTTAAATACAAGTGTCCACCTTTTCAATACCTTAACTAAGTTGAACAATTTGCATAAGCTCTTGTATGAGATGATATTGTTTTCTGTCAGGTTAGACATCAATGAAAACAAGATTATTGTAGATTGGAATCAGGTTAGAAATATACGATAAAACATTGCAATACTTTGCGGAATCATTAGGATTTTGAAGCAGAAGATGGGAAAAATGTGCAATGCCCTCGCCAGGAATTGAACCTGGAACTCTTGAATACGCGCTGAGTGTGCTACCGTTAGACCATGAAGGCGTGTTGGAAGAAGGGAGAAAATACTTTATAATGTCATTAAAGAATAAAAATAATTGGCACATTTCTTTTATGTTCTATTTTACTTTGTCCATACTAATTCTCCCCGGGGGTTGACTCAGGCGAACGGGAAGTACTGGTTAGGATCTGTACATACGCAGTCTCAACCACGGGGGCATAACAACACACTTCACAGAAAGCCTGAGGGCTCTCGGGACAGAGTAAGGCTCGGCAGGGACCGTACTTGTACTGCCTTGTCTGCCCTTGCTCTGTGGGGGGGTCGCAACATTGCGAATTAATCAAGGGCGGAGAGGCACTTAATTCCGATAGGCGCCTATTAGGTCGCATTAGCCCGAAGTTGTCCCGTTCCATCAGCGTTTTCCATAGTAATAACGAAGAAGAACGAACGATGAACTATTACGAAGAAGAAGAACGAAGGAACAAGTTTCAAACGTATTTAACTAAAGACAAATTATGACATTTTCTAAGGAATTACTTAGAAAGATACACTACATGAAGGACTATAAAGAACTACTATAAGATATTTTTTTAATTCATATAATTTTACAAATTTTATAAGAAAGACATTAACAACAATTACATGCCTAATATAACAGCTAATTCTTGGCACTATATTCAAGAACAAATTAGGACTTCCCTAAAATTAGGAAGTAGATTATGATAGATATGTTTATAGACTTTAAGAAAAGTATTTATTTCACACCATTTTTGTTGCCACTATAAGTTTTGTTCAAAATTTGTATTATTAAAAGTATTAGGATTTACACCTTTACTATGTATATATCTATTATGTTTTATTTTATTATGTATTCATCCATTATGATTATTAGTACCTCTTTTATATGCTGAAAATTCTATATTCAAGTTTATGTTAAACATAGATAGAAATTTGATATTAGTGTATAATTTGAAACTGATGTAAAATTTGAATCCTGTAAAGAAATATGTTAAAAATAGCCATCTTATGGCAATGTAAAAAAATGTGTTAAAAACAAAATCCCAGTGGCCACTTTTAGATACAGCTGGTCATAAACGCCATGCACCAGGCGCTGGGTCTCGGGGCCAGGTATTAGATGACTGTGTAGCCTCACATTAACAACTCGGGGGTTTTTGCTCTAGACAGTGGCGGACGTGGTACTAAACAAATTAACCGTTATGGTGCCCACGTCCTCCGTTACCTGTTATTTGTCAATACTAATGGTTTTTTGTTGACTGTACAAACAGCTTTATAATTTGGATTTAAAGCAGGCGTTTTACATTTAGATAGGTTTTACAAGTAAAATTGCTGAACAAATCTAAGAAACATTTAGGGTAATGTTTTTTCAAAAGCCAGATCCATCACTAGTTCTCTCTCTGACGATTACATACGGAAAAATATTAGATACTGATAAGCAATATTTTAGGATAGATTAATTCAAAAACTGCTTAAAATTTGAAAGTTTCGATTTAATAAATAAGCCATGGGTAGTGCTTACCTTGGCATTTCTTTTGGACTCCACTGGCCGTCTATACAGGTAGCAAAAGGTGGGCCATCTTCGAGTGTGTAGTGATGGTGGCAGTCATATATTATCTGTTGGTTGTGGCCGATTCTTGTCACATAAGGTATGTAAATGTGCGTAGACGTGTACCCCACTGTCAAAATTCGACCGTGCTTCAGTACACCAGGATAAGGACAAGAAACTAAATAAAATAAAACATCACGAGTTAAAGGATGTGTATTATAAGTTTCTTCAAAATGTATAAATTACAGAGCTAAAGACGAAAATGGCTAAATACAGGCAAGAAGGAAAACCTTTTCAATCTGAATCATTTAGGTAAGTATTTCTTTTGCAAAGGAAGATCTATTCAGTTCTATTCAGATTTTTACATTAGAGAAGAGGGAAGCTGTAATTTTTCTCTTCAATTAGCTAACTTTTGGGAACTGGGCTAGTGCTTTGAAGCTTTTAGTTAGTCGAATCAGAGAATTTCCAGACTCTAAATGGTTTTTAAACTTGAGAGAACATATTAACAGTAAGACTTCTAATAAGTTGTTTTGAGCAAAAGTTTGAGCATCAAAGTGTATGCGTAATAATCCAATTAAGAGCATTTTAATGCTGAAAATTGTAATAAACTTTTACAAAATGTTAAATTAATGTATAAGAATTTTTGACAATATTTCTAAAGTAGAATTGAAATTCTTAGTCATTCGGAAATCTAGTAGTTCAATTTAATGTAACGTGTACGAATGAACATCTAAGATCACTTGCAAGACCAGGAAAAAAATTTTATTGGTCGAAATAAAACAAACACTTTTCATCAACAATTATCTAGTCATTTTCGAAAGCATTAAAATAAATTTTCTAATAGCATGTATAACGTTTTACAAGCTTACTGCATTTTCGATAACGAACTTTCTAGCTTTACAATTGTAAGACAAATGGTCACATGGATATAAAGCAGTAAACAGGAACTTTTTTTCCTCTCTTTCAATTATTTAAATATAATATTTAACCAAACCTGGCCTCCAGATTACCAAACTGATACACAACTCAACTACATTACAAGAGCCATATCAGAAGAATGCCTTTGACGTTTTGCATCACAACCTTAAGTATAAACTGGAGTTGACATCTAGTTAACAAATCCAAGTTGTTAATAGACTTTCATCCAAAACGTTTAGTTTGAATAGAATTGCAGTGACGTTAGGAATTAAGAATATGCCTGAAAATTTCATTGTACACTCTGTGGGAATTGAACCGTGTCTTCAAATTATCGGAATGATATGCTAATGTAGTACACAAGCCTGCCTTTAATTTCTTAGTCATTCACAGTTTCAAATTATCATTCCTTGGCATTATCATAAATGATGAAACTGAAATAATAAAGCTCTAAATATTTATGATAAAACATTCTTTGAAAAGTTATTCTATTTGATGGTTTTCAAAAATCATCTTAAATGCCAGGAAATGAAATCTGATATAGAAAGCAAAGATCTGAAACATGCAGAAGTAGTGAGTTAATATAATTACCATCATTTAAATCAGGGCTGACCAATCCGAACAGCGAGCTATTTTTCTCTCAACGGAAAACGTTCCAATCTACTTTTGTTGGTATGCATGATGACAGTGAAAATTATGATGCAGCCACTATTTTCTCAATCAATTGATAGCATACATATACATTCAATTACAAAAATGTTTTAAATTACATGAGCAGTTCAGATTTATTTTGCTTAATTCAGAGTGGATGAAATCATTGAACTCTGCTTAGGCGATAATTGAGGGAATGAGCATTTCTGTAATTGTACAGAATAATTGTTTTCACATTCGTGACAATTTCATAAAATGTATCCTTCTTCCCTCAAAATACATGAGGCTGTTGATAGCTTTACGAATGACTATAGTATTTAAAGCATGCACAATAAGATACTGATCTGATTACGGTATATATAGCGGGTAGTTGCACATGCTTTTGCTTTTTAAAATTTGTTTTTATTGTAGGAATCACATAAAAGTGCTGCTGTACGATCTCTAGGTTCTCTCCAGAATATCGCTGCGACGAAAGGATCAACGTTTCCTTTCAAATTACGCATTCATCTGGCGCAGCCATATAAATTTCTGAGACCGCAGAGATATTTTGTATAAGCTTATATAAGTTTTCGTAATCTACATTCAAAGCGATGTTCACAATCCTCATTCTTTACATCAAAAACAGAGGCCGCAACAAAGAATGTAAAGATTTATTTTAGAATGAAAAATCAATGAAATATACAGGATTCGAAACAATAAAATATTAATTCATTTTAAAAACTGATTCAGAGCATTCAGAAAATGTAATCTCAAAGTAAATATTGTCTCTCTTATCTTTCTTGTAATGACTGAGAACCGACTGTTACAAGATTCAAATTTCAATTTACTGTGGAAAAACGTATGTGCTACTTAGCCAGAAAGACTTTGATGCATGCGTTTTCTTTTCGCTTCTGTTGGTGTGCTTGATGAAAAGTGAAATAAACGAAAACTTCATTTGTATAGTTTATATGAAAAAGATTAACTGTTCATTTACATTTTCTGATCTTGATAATATTAATTTTGTTATAATTAGTTACTTTTCTTCTTTTACGTTGAAGCATTCTAAAAATCTTCTAAAACCGTCTACTGGAAGATATCCGGAAATTTATGCATTACTTAAAGGACAATATTAATTTTCTTTCCCTTTTGTTCCATACGCTTTGGAATCAGTTTTATACATGCAAAGGGAAACGAATCATATAACAGCAGAAAATTCAACAATATCATTTAAAGAATAAAGGAAGTATTTATTATTTCTAGCTTTAGAAATAATAACTGGTGAACTGAAATAATATCCAATTTGTTAGTGACGGTTAGAGATCGCTGTAAATTCGATTTCCATGTTATAAAATAATTATGTATACTCAATCACATTCACGAAAATAGACAATTCATTTCAAACGCAGTGAAATTGTCTGTAAAAATAAGAGCCAGGTTTTACCCGAAGATAAAGTTATATAAGCTCAGTCACCATATGATTCAAAGAACATTTCACAGATCTCTGTTTTCTGTCGATACATGATATTAATCATGAAACGTATATATGTGTTCTTTGCAATCCTTTTTAAAATCCAACCGAATGCACAAATGTTTTTATAATTTAACGATATACTAAACTTTTATTAGGAATTTTACACCAATGAAAGAGATCTGATCATTAGCCTGAAAAGATGGTTATAGAAATGAAGAAGAAAGTTTACTCCTAACATGAGAATAAATTAAATTCACCAATAAAAATATATAGATGAAGCATGAAATAAAAGTATCTGCTACTTACTATCTCTACAGACAGGTGTTGGAGTCGTCCATTGCCCATCATAACATTCAGTGACATTGGATCCAATTAGCTGGTAACCCTTTTTGCAAATGAAGAAAACTTTCACGCCATGGTCAGTTCCAGATGCTACAACCAGGCCGTGTTTTGGCTTTTCAGGTAACTGATGGCAATTGGCTATACATGACGATCAGAAGCAAAAACAAAAAAGAAAATAAACGATGCTACCAGAAACAGTCGATTTATTTCAATGTAGAAATTACATCCAACTACATATTTATAAATAATCATTTAATGACAAATGATGTAGCAAGCAAATGAAGATAAATTTCGTTTTGGGCTTAACGTTTCACACTATATAAAATACAGTTTAACTTGTGTGAAAGAGGCATTCACGTCTTTTGGCATCTCTGTGAACCAGATATACGTTTGCCTACGTTCTCTAAAGTTTTGAGCTGTGTTTGCCTATTGCATACTTAAAACTTACTTTTTTAATCTGAAAATCTCAATACTCGGAAGTGGGTTTCGTTAACTCTCATGTAATAATAATAATAATAACATTGGCTGTAATCAGAATTAACAGCAGATGGTAGCACTATATTTTCTTAAAACTACCTTTATCTTTAAAAATAATAAACGGGTAATTATCCCGAATGCTATTTCGAATACACAGCAACATAACCTCATCCTATACTTCAAAAGATCATTTCTAATTTTTTGTAAGAGTACATTTAATATATGCTGCATTATTGATTATCATCATTATTGTAATTATTATGTAACTTTACAACGAGCATTGAGCTTTGAAATCGTAATAGTAGTATCATTCAGAAGTAAACAAAAACTTTGAATTTATAAGGAAATGCATTAGTAAACATTACTACAAAGTATTAATAGTAGTAGTGGTTCAGTATTAGGCAAAAGGTTAATTATTAAATGTGCAGATGATCGCACAAAATCATTTATAAAGCTTATCTCTTCAATTGTATATGTACGGTGTAGAAAATGTTTTATCTCAAGTATTAAAGAATAATGAATATTTTACTGATTGGTAATTCTTTTATATAAGTGTTGCGAATGTGCTGAAATTAGTGCGTTGAAATTAGTGCTGAAACTGTCCTTATAAAACTCTCTATCTTATTAGGATGAACTTTATAATTAGAAACCTATTTTTGAGATTTTAAAAATGTAAAACTGCAGCCCCCATTTTTGAACATTCTTTATACTGATTTATATATTTGTATTGTTATTTTTCATATGCTTGTTCTTATTTCCTCTATCTATATTAAACACTTAAAGTAAAATTATCAAACACACGTTTCCGTTAAAAAAAGTAAAATCTCTGCGACATCGAAATTCAGATAATTGTTCGTTGATGTAAAGTTTTTGAAAGTACCTTAAATTTTATAAGTATGTTTGAATTGTTTTGTAACAATTTTTGTTTGAGCATTTCGTTTTCTCTTTTGTTTTCTTTCTATCGTACAGTAGCCTAGAATTTTATGAATCGTTTGGCGGACTAATGCTTCTTTCGAGCAGCTGATCGAAGCCCATAATTTATTACTGCAACGCTTCAATTTTTCGATGTCAAAAACATCTTCTGAAAGTGTTGCAAACTGATTTCCTTTTTGTGATCTTTCTCTTCGCAGTAAATGTATCATTGTCGATTTGCTGATATGTATGCTGATCAGAATACCTCAGTCTATATAGCTATCTATATTTAAAGTACATTGATTATTTGTTGTTGATCGATGTTAACGAGATCTCTATCATTCATTTCTTGAGATATGTGTTCAACTATACTAATACATTTGCTAAATCCTCTTCACAGGAGTCTGATTTATATCCAATAACATTTATCCATTGGGTACTGTAACTAAATATTGGTTAAAACGAACAAAATCAGCAGTACGATGTGGTAAAAACTTTTCTTATGACGTTGAATGGGCAGCGTTAAGTGAAATCCATGTGATAAATAATAAACTACAATCAATATACCTTGTTAATTCGAAAAACACACACAAAAAAAGCATAAACAAAAAAATTAAAACAAAAAAACTTTTAAACAAAAAATTTCACATTTATCATCTAGAATTTTGAAATTATTTAAATGTCCAAGAAATTCGGTATGATAGCACCGTACGTAATTACGTCAAGGCAGGAAAACAGTAGGAATGAATCAGAACACATAGAGTTTGATTCATTTATCACTTTACTGAATAAACGTTAGTTAAAAGTTGCACGAAAAATTGATCATTTATTAACTTTTAAGAACAATGATTCCTGCCCGAATCAGATATATACGACTTAACGACGTTGCAGATATGATAAGAGTGCTTTTATTTGATGATTGGACAGTTCTTAAACACGAAGTAAGTGACGAGTAGTTAGTTATCCACCATTCCGAAAACTTATTTGGTATTCTATACTCAGTATCATGCTTTTAGTTATTACTTTGATTGGCTACAAGAGGCTAATTGAGTTATTATGGAGAAAACCTCGAGAATTACGTATTCAGGGTGATGTAGTTTCATAGAGGATTTAAAGATGTCCTTTATGAAATGGTCATATTTGAATTACGCAAGACAAAAATATAAGAAATCTGAAGCAGCTAGCTTGTTACAGCATCAGAAATTAAATTTAGAGACTTCATTAACAAGATTTCTCAGGTTTAATCAGATTAATCAGGCGGTTTCTAGAGGACTTTGGGAGACATTTTTGCTAATGTGCATGTACAAATTCGAGTTGAAGGGGAGAAAATTAGCTATATTATAATTCAAAAATTATTGAAACGTTCATGTTAAATTTTGCTAGTTAGAAGATAGTTGCAATATTAGGCATGAAATATATACTTGCTATAGTGTGCAAATTAATTGGGACAGAGATATATTTTGGATAATTATGTTCGTACCTTCATATACAGTGATACTAGTAAAATTAATAGGACGTATGCCCTACTTTAGCATAAATGACCTCTATAATGCGATTAGGCATTGGTTCTACTAATGTTGTACATATAAGTTTTTTTTCTTTATCATGGAACCACACATTTATAGCATTCTGAATTACGTGCGCTTTTGTCGTATAGTCCATTTTGCTACAGATGATCTTTAAGAAAAGTGCTACAAATTTACAATCGGATTTATGTTTAATGAATTTCCAGACTAGTTTAGCACAATAATTTTATTTTCTAACATGAACCTTCTGGCAGATTTTGGATTGCATCATATAGCCAAGTCACGTCGACATGTGCCTCCAAAGTGTTTCAAGTAAGTACAAACCAAGGAAAGTACAAACCTACGTCTTAAAACTGCCGCATAATTTAATGAATTGATCATTCTAAGAATATGAAATGGACTTATGGTGCCATCTGTCATAAAGAAACCCCAAAATGAGGGTATTTTATCGTTTTCTAAGCCACTTTCTAAGATAAACAAGAATCTTATATAACATGTATAATACAGCAATAGATTTACCTAGCGTACCATTTTCGGAACACCACATAACTATAAAATAGCTTGAGAGATTAATGTTTGGTCTTTAACTCTCCGAGAGTTACGATTTCTTCCCTGAAATTCCAAAGTTCCTTAAAAATGCCATGAATAAGTGGTATTTTCTTAATTTTAACTAAAAAATGAATCTCACATTTTGTACCTTGATTACTTTTCTTCCAATATGCATCCAAACCGAAATCAAATACATTAAAAGCTAGCAGAAATTTTCATTTAAATCCTTGTATTTTTATATTTTTTAGCTAATATATATTAATTTCATGCATATTTTCCAAAAATTTAAACCTCCGGCATAAATGTGTTAATTAGATTTCTGGCTAATCTTCTTTTCGTTCCACATTAGTCCTTCATTTCTGTAGAAAATGAAGCAGCTTCATTGTCTCCTCGGAATTCGAGAAATGCTCGATTTTTCAACACCATCCACCAATGCTTCTTACAGGCATGGATGTGGACAGCTAAACTTGATAATCTTTGCTCCCTTTCGAGGCCCTATATTCGTTTTTAGTACACTAAAATGAACGAATGCAAAACATATTTAAAAAGTATGCAAAAGTAACTTCTTTTCCTCGTAGAAACAAGTTTGACGTTGGTGCAATAGTCCTAATTTATAGTCTAAACAAGTTCTGACTAGTCGAAAGTAGATATCTAAACGACGTTAAGGTATATAAAACTGCTTTGAGGGACTTTCTGACACCAGTTGACAATCTAATTAAATTTCTATGAAAAAAATTAACTTCGTTCCAATTGACTTGCACACTATAGTATCTATCCAAAAGAGAAATAATATTTTTTTTTCCGAATAAAAGATTTACATGTTTGCATTAAGAAATCAGTTTGTACCATGATAATCTTATCGAAAATATCAAAGGTAACAATCCTTTTTTTAAAATTGAATTTGAGACTCTTAATTTTTCCACTGTTTATTTGTAGATTGTTTTTGAACTTTTATTCATGCATTTTTAAAAAAGGGCAAAAAGTATTTACTTCAGATAAAATAATAAGTTTAATTTCAGAATTTACAGGACATTTAAAATTGGTTTCATATTCATAAATGTATGCATGTAGCAAGCATAATAAATGAATTACGAATGCGTTTCTACATTTGAATAAATGTAATTTCACTGAAAAGTAAAACTAGGGGACTGTGGCTGAACTATAACATTTACTTAAAATTTAATCATGTCTGTTATTTGTTTAATTCTCGAAGTATGTTATTCCTTGATATTTTTAAAACTTTTTATATTTAGCCTGGTATTTCTATTGTGCGTTTATGTATCGTTTTTTGACAAATACTTTGTTACAAACGGTAGTGTGACAGCTGTCGTTTTATCACCTTATTAAAACCCATCGTCCTTTGTTTAAAATTTTAAATAAATTACAGGTTGAAAAATTGAGTCCTTTGAATTTCTGTAAAGCTTTCATTGGCATGAAGAAATTTTCCTGGAAAATACTTCCGACTCTTTTTTTTTTTGTTTAAAGCAGGAGAATTTAGAAATTTAAATGAATATCTCTACTCGAGCGGGAAAAAAAGAGGGAAATTTTTAATTCGCCATTTTATAAAAGCAGATAATTTCTTCTAGCTTTGAGAAAATTAAGAATGACGATCAGTAAACTAACTAATGCTATTAAATATATTATAATCAAATAATTTATTGTTACTTCAAAATTGTATACAATTTTTCATTTTATAATTGATTACAATGCATCTCCTCTTAAAATTTTGTAACTAAATGAAAAGTCTGAGCCGCCATTTAAACAAATGACAATAGTTTTCCTGATTCGTTTTCTTAAAGTATTTCATATTAAAAATGTGATGTAAACCGAACTTCTCACCCATTCAGTCCATAAAATCAATAGTAAAAGATTTTAGCATAATTGACAAAAAACAATCCACATAAAAATTAGAATATTCTTTTATTTTTATTTTATGGGTTGCATTTTAAATTTTTATCAAAGCTATATCTTAAGAAGTAAAATAAAAAGAACTTCTAAAATCGAAATAAAAATTCATAATAACAAATTATATTTTTATTATTAGATGTATATATTTTCTTGTATAAGTTCTTGTTACGTTTCTTCCATTTTAATTTTTTCACTTCTAAATATTACTAAAATGTCTGAAATAAGAGCCATATAAGCGAAAAGTTTTTATTTATGTGAACATAGAAATTAACCTTTGGGTTTGTATTTTTATATATTGGAGTAAATATTCATCTTCGAAGAAACGATAGTAATGTTTGCATGCAAAGCAATAACTACCATGGACAGCCACATGGCCAGTCAACAAGAGCTATGTGGACTGGTGACAGCGACAAATTTGTGGACTGACCAGTGCATGATGAACCAATTGGCATAAACTCACCGCAGTGAAGAGAGATGCCTTTGAACGACTCTTTAGGTTCAAAGGATTGCATTTTAAATGCAAAAATAAGAAAATACCTGAAATGTATACGTGGGGAATTTGGACATTTATTGAGGGCAAAGTATACAAAGATATCCTCTATCCAATTTAGAGAATGTAGCATTCGGACGTGAAGACAAGTGGCACTCCTCGTTTCATGGCGGTCGGTTAAGTGTAATATATATTTCTAAGATTACCAGACACAGTGCTCCCCGATATAAACGTTTTAAAGAAAGAAAAAGCATTTTATAACTGATGGCGTCATATAATACAGTGAAATATTGTAATATAATGAATTTATCTAAATATAATTGTAATTCTCTCAAATCCATAGAGAATATGCATATTGTTAACTAAAACTAGACGAACCAGATCATTAGTACTTTCTTTTGTTAGGATTCAATGTTCCGCTTAGAGATAGTATTTTAAGATCTATCCCAAAGCAGTCAGTTGTGACTTTATTTGCAATTACTCCTTTAGGTCTTATTATATAATAAGACCTAAAGGAGTTATTGCAAATAAAGGACCATTTATAGACTTTGGTCCAATTAAAATCTTGATCTAACGTTGGTTCAATGTATAAGATCGCTGAATACTGTTAATTCGATCACTGAGGAATGATATGGTTGCATGGATTTTTGGAATTTCTCTATGTGTTTGAACAGTAGGCGATTTCCCTTAGCTAGTCAAAAAGGTATCGCTGCTTAGACAGACAATTCGTGTATGCTATCCCACAGTTTATTAATAAATTTATGTAAACAATTAACCGACTTCTTGGGTGTCGAATAAGATCGAATTCGTTCGCAAGTATACCAAGTTCCATTATAAATTCCGTGTATACGAGCCAGTTTCCCTTAGAAAGTCCTTCCCGAAGGCATCCCTCTCCTTAGGCAGATAGCCCTAGTGTGCTTTGCCATAATTAAATAAACCAAACCAAACCAAACCAAAACATTATAAATTCAAACACAAATACAAATTAAAACTATTTTGCTGTACAAATGGAAACGACTGCAAGAATCTGCAGAAATGTCAGGCCAAGCCTCTGCAGTAGTGTAACAAACGTAACATGACACGAAAAATGTAATGTCTCGAAGATAAACTTCCTTAACATCAAAAGCAGATGTTGAAAAATTCTGATAATAAATGGAGATATGTAAAATAGAAATAATTAGGTATTATTTATATAAGCAAATTGTAAATAATAATTTATGGCTATGAATAGGCATGAAAGCATAGCTTTGTTGAAGGTATCTTGATTAAATAATTGTTTTGCAGATGTAAACTGATTTACATTTAGTAAGGCACGAGGAAAACCATTTAATATATACTCAATAAAACTAACTTGCGTTCTTCTTTGATAAAATAACATTCACATAGGGATAGAATTTGGCATATTTCCATAATGATTTGGTATATGAAATTACGAAAAAGCCTCGAGGGCTATTTTGACTAAGTGGAGGGAAGCCTTCGTGGAAGACTTTCTAAGAAAAACGTGTTCGTATACACGTTACACATGGGGAAAACCACGAAAACGCTCATGAAGCTAGACCTTTCATGAGATTCGAACCTCGGGCCGAACTGCCAGTGTTCAGTGCCTTTACCGCTCAGCTGCTGGTGGGCCTATTTTTGCATAAACTCAATGTAATGTCTGTCAAAGGATTATAAGTATGGGGAACTTGGACGAAATTGCATATTATTCTTAATCTTTCCGGCAGCATCCGGATGCTGTCGGAAACAGGGCATGGTGTCTTACTCCTTCTGAAATTATCAACCCTACATTTTATTCTCAAAGTGAGCAGTTTTCTTAATCTTAAGTAAAGAGCTACTACTTATTACAATCTGTGATTCCTTAACATGTGCTAAACGTAATAGAAACGATTCTCAACGTCTGAAAGGTGTATTTGAATGCATGCACATCAGGAACAGAAAGTAATCCATAGGTATGAAACCTGGAAAACAACAAGAAAGCCTGAAATACCTAACAAAAATTTAAAGATCATCCCTTAGTATTCAGTTTTAGTATTAAGATTAGTGTTCTAAGAGCAGTGGAACCACGAGATACGAGTTTAATTCGTTCCAGCACTGAGCTCGTACAGCAAATTTCTCGTATCTAGAAACAAACTTTCCCATTGAAAATAATGGAAATCTAGTTAATCCGTTTCTCACCCCCAAAAATAGCAACATAAAAATCAATTTTTCTAATAAATAACATAACCGTAGTTTACATTTATGATAGCTTACGACGTCGACCTTAACTGCTTCTCGTTAATCCACACCAACAACAACTTTTCAACAGCTTCTAGAAGTTAGCTTCTAGTAACGGTGCTTGGAAGAGTAAGGGTAACTCTTTTGTCTACGTCAAGTTTCTTAATTTCTTCCTTCTGCTCATCGACGATCTGCAGAATAGTGCAGATAGTCGATGTCGAAAGGCCATAAGTCTTCGCCAATTCCGCCACTTTTACACCACGCTTATGTTTATCTATGATTTCTTTCTTAATTTCAACCGCCATGGCTTCCTTATTTTTATTTGCAGCACTATCTGAGGCCACAATCTTTTTGAGAGGCATCGTGAAATATTTATTTTGACGTTAAATGTAATAAACAATTAACTCACAAGCGCGCAAACACATAGATCAAAGAATACTAGTGATCTGTCGAGGGGATTCTTCGAGTCAAGCCGGATCGGGAAATGGCGCCACGCATACAAACAGCTTGGCTCATTGCTCGTTACTCGAGGCTTGCTCGTATTTAGAGACAAATGTTTCTCTCATACCTTTGTCGTATCTCGAATTACTCGTATATAGAGGTGCTCGGATCTCGAGGTTCCACTGTATATACATTTGGGAATAAAATGATAAAGAAATAGTTCTTAAATTCATTAAGAGTAGAAAGTGTCAAGTTGTGGATGTTGAGGTTAAGTTTTACTAACGAAATATTATTTAAATTTAATGCTTTCTTTTCTCTCCGAGGTTTGCTCATATCTTACTTCAAATCAGAATTTGTGTAGATTTATGTAGAAGGACAAGCAGTTTGACTATAAAAGTTAGGATTTTCGTGCAAGACTGTGAGAGTTTGGCCTCGCCCGCTGCTTTGTCGAGCGCCCACCAGGGGCTGAACACTGGTAGTTCGGTTCAGGGTTCGAATACCGGCGAATGGGCTAACTGTATAGGAGTTTCCGTGGTTCCCCATGTGTAACGTCCATAGGAGCCAGCCAGAAAGTCCTCCACCAAAGCATCCCTCTCCTCAGGGAGATAGCCCTAGAGCCTTAATTAAATCTTTACCGTAATTAAATAAACCAAACCAAATCAACGACTGCTTCGTCGATTCTAAATAATCCGACTGTAGATTAAGGTTAGATACTCTTTTGGTAAGTGTATGTTTGAAATTCTGGAGCCATCTAGGCAAGCTTGTAGTCTCAAATCAAATTAGGTAAAATTATTGAATTTACATCCATTTTAAAAGGAAGCTTTGTGTTAAAATCAGGCCCTAGTTGGATGGTAATTTATATTTGTATAGTTTAATTTTATTCGTCACAAGAGGTGAAGTAAAATAAACTTAAAGTGTTTTAATTCTGTGTCTGTTTGCTCGATGGTTAGATATTCTGGTAGTGAGAATTCACCTGACAGGATATATGCAACACCTTATTGCTATCGTATTGACTATTGAAAGTACTCGGAACCCGCAGCCGGTGTTACATAATTTACCCGATATCTTAATGACCAGAATTCTCATTACAAATTGTGCTTTTCTATATTCTAAATCAGTAAAAGCGTATTTTAAGGTTTTTTATGGTAACTAAGGAATATTTCAAAGAAAGGCTGTTTAAATGATTTGAAGTAAGATATCGTATGAGTTAAGTTCATTTATATCTATATTTGTTTCAAGATATAAAACAATTTGACTATTTACCGTTTATTAAAATTTCTTTGCTTTGCTCTTCTTTGTTTTCAACGTCTCTTATATCTAAACGTCTCATACGCCATCTGAATAGTTCTCTCCGTCTTCTTCTCTGGGTGGTGAGGACAGGGTGTGATCCGCGCACGCATCTGGAAAAAATTTTAAAAAGATAAAAAAATTAAGATTTAAAAAATTTAAGAAAATTTAAAAATATGACAACTTATGAGAATTGGAAATGATTTATCAGTTTTTTTCTTTTCACTTTTTTTTTTCTTTTTATGTTTTATGCTATAAAATATAAAGTGTCGCCTGGTCGATCAAATATAATAAATTTAACGTGATTGAATTCCCTTCAAGTTTATATTTAGAATGAAGGTTTAAAGCCAGGAAATGCAAATTTTATTATTAAAAATAACTTATAATTGAGATAGAAAATTATATTCAATTGAAAATAAACTAGAAACATACAAATACAAAAAGTTAAAAGGTAACGATAACTTTTTAAAAAAAGTAATGTAATTTAGCATTGGGAAAAACTAAGATTTGAAAGAAGTCGGTGAAATTTTTAATATGCTTTAATATTAAATGCATAGCAGAACCTTCTGCAGAGGCCATTGGGTGTTTCTGCTCTTTTCCTTCAACAACATAGTTTTATCACTCTACCGAAATCTTAAATTTTGATTAGTTTGTATTGTCTTTCTTGCTGCCAAGAAAGACCGGATTATTGCGTTGTCTAAACGCATCCAGAATTCTTTCCATCAATATCAACATAGTTTTAATTCTTCTTTTATCGCTTTTTTAATACATTATTAAAGTTATCTGAAAAAATCCAAATAGGTTTGATATTATCGGCTTAAAATATTGAATATCTTGATTTAACTTCCATACGTTTACACTTAAAGCCTACTAATTTTAATAAATGATTATGATTCAGAATTAGTTACACCTCCATTGAAAAAATATCGTAATTTTTCTAATAAATTAATATCAAAATTATTATTTACCAATCTTCATCATTTCAAATATTTAATCCTACGTATACAAGCATTGCTTAGTTATTTCTAGCCTACATGCAATGTAGCCTTCTAAGCCCTCTTAGGTCATTTTCTGCCTGCCTGCTTGTCAGATTTTCCCGCTCACTCGTTAGGAGTGGATGCCTTCCTGTCTTTGCGAAAGCGCGAAGACTGGGAACTACGTCAGCTTCTTGTCTGGAGCGTCTCTTAGGCATTCTACTTCCGGAAGTCACAAATTTCATTGCGATCTGCCGGATGTGTTTGTGACTTGCACCTCCTGTTTACTCTCTTGCATTTCCCCAAAATGCAAACCGTCAAATGGTTGAAATTTAACTCGCTTTCAGGGAAGCATAACGCGAGTTTCGATGAATGATCTTGATAGCTGCAATGGATAATGTCTGCACAAAGGCAGTCTGTGAGACTGATATTCATATTAGTATAGGAATTATAAAATCCACTTGTTACATGAATTTAATAACGAAGTTTGTATGCAAAGTTTGGAAAATTTGTTGAATTAACGTTAAACAGCATATCCTTCTGTTTAAAGCTTTGCACAAGTTGTAGCTCAGTAAGCATTATTTCGAATCATTTAAGAAAAATTATAACCCTCCTCAAAAAAAAAGAAAAAAAATATTTTTTTAATTATTTAAAAATTAAAGAATTATTGTATTTAAGTAAGTTTTTGAAAGCAATGTAACCGAATGCTTTAATTTATAAATCCAGAAAGCTTAGCTATACATGATTTAAAAAACATATAGTCATTTTAAGAACTTTTTTTTCTTTTGGATGTTTTCACCCAAACACTTTTGAACGCGTTTGCAAGCACAATTCAACATGGCACCAGTTAAACTGCAGTGAAATAAATAATAATTATACACATTATAACTTTTCCTATACCATTTGATATTGAAAATATTAAAAACGTGTCAAATCAGGAATATTAAGTCTTTAATGCTATAACATATATTGTTTTGTATTGCGGATTACTGTTCTGGATTTTAACGCATGCATAATGAGTTATCGATGCATAATTAGTTAACGCATGCATATCGAAGTTTAGAGCGATAATTATATATTCCTTATAATTATAGTTCTAGGTACTGATGGAACTTGTGAATACGTAAATATGTGATAGCTAAAATTCATTTATCATATTTATTTAATTTACTTAGGCATGATATATACGTATTTTCATCCTTTATTATTAAAAAAGGTATTAAAAAAGGTGGCCACAAGCTAAAAATGATTAAAAATTTAAAAAATTAAACAAAAATTTATATATAATTTAAAAAAATTGTTCCAGTGTAAAAACACGAAGTGAGAAATAACAGCGTTTTGGTAAACACATAGTAAAGACATTAGGTTATTTCGAAACAGAAGTAATTGAAAAATGAATAACGCCTTCGATGAGACTCGAACCACGGGCTCTCGAACACGTGCCGAGCGTGCTGACCACTACACTACGAAGGCATGCTAAGAAGGCGGGAGAAATATCTTATAACATAATTTAAATTTTCATATGGACAGCGAAAATTCGAATTAGTAAAATATTTATTATGATTTAATAATTTAATTGCAAAATTCTTTACATTTATATGTATATATTTGTTAATTAATCTTTTCAGAGGAAAAATTAAAGTCGAGTTCTTACAAGTGGCGTTTCACCTAATATGGAAATATTATTTAAAATAAATAAATAAAGCAACGAAACTTTGTTTTAAATTTTTTCGTTAAATCTGGGAGAAAGATAGTCAGATTTGAACACTGATTATGCGCTGAAAAGGGATTAAATTAGTCACGTCGTTGTTTTATATACCTATCTATTACCTTTGTGAATTTTATGCGAAAAGAATAAAACATTTTGCATTTAATTTAAAAAAGCGTAGTTTACTAACTGAAAGTTTTGATTTACAGAGACCATATAAAACATTGAATTTTATATTTACGAAAATATTCTATCCCAGCCATCCGAGGGACAAAAACGTATTGCCCTTTATTAGGACTAGCTACTGCTTATTTATATATTTTTTCTTTTCCTACAGTTGCAATGAGTTTACTTACTTTGTCATCCCAAGATTTCATACTTGGAAACATGCATATTGAAATCTGGCATTATATTTATTTATTTATTTTACTCTGGTTAGAGAAACGTGTTTATTGGCTCAAGAATTTCACATCTCGGAAACTCTCATAAATTGTTTTTATATCTTCGGCCATAAGATCTCAAAATTACTTTTCCAAACCGAGCTCAATTTTTGAGGAATTCATTTCCTAATGAAAATTGGAAAAACACATGGAATAAGAAAAAATGGGAAAAAGACAAGAGGCAAGGAATTATTTATTTTATACTACTTAAATTTTTTTTCAGATAGCAGGTTACTTTTCCAGCAAAAAAAGGCGCAATTTTAATGGAACACCACTATAATTCGTTGGGCGGAATTAAAGTAAACTTCATTAAAACCATTTTTAAAATAAGGTCCATAATACATTTTTATTTTATAATGCATATTAAAATACTTAGGACGTGAAATGAAGTTTTAAATAAGAAGTAGCATCTTCTGAGTTCATTTGATGCGTTTTTAATTACGAATCGCAACGATTTCACGCTATTATAATGAACATTCAGCATATTTCTCAGGCGTAAAGAGATAGTTCTATATTATACAAGCGAAAGAGCAAGGATTGATAATATCATTCATTTCTAATGTTAAAACCTTATACATTGTTATTTTAAAAGCTCTTTGCTTCTAAACGCTGTTTTGAGAATTCATATTACGTCCTTGCGCAGATTGGTGAAAAGACTTTCATGTTTTTCTGAGAATGCTTATTACGGACGACAGGTGATGGAAGACATAGACATCAGGATTATACCAGAAGCTAACCAATACAATCCTTATATCCACCACTTTCCAGATATGACGACTGCTTGGCATTAAAGAACCATCGGAGGAATTCTACAGTTGAATTGAGATCCAGCTGCAGATTCTTGGATCTGCAGTTGTCTATCCTGGTTTTTAGCTGGTGTAATGTCAGTCTATCTTCAGCGGTCAATTCTGTGCAACACTTTTGGTAATGAGACGGTTAGATGACCGATTTGTTTAGCTCACTCCCGACCATTAGTTAAGTGTCTAACCATTTAGGAAAATTATTTAGTTATGGGAAAACAGTGCTTGAAAGAAATTTGCAAGTTAAATGCAAGATTTCAGCGTAATCGCTTCCTTTGATTTTCTTTTGGCCGACCAGACGGAAAGTGGTTAGTGACACACTTTACCGAACCGAAGGGCGTAGGTTCGAATCTCAAGAGAATTTACCATTTTCGACTATCTGTTGTTGACGTTCATCTTCAGCTGGCCAAATATTCATTACAAAACTTTTCATGCAAAATTTACCCTCAATCGTAGTCTGTACTTGAACCATTTATGTAAATCTTGAGTTTTACCTATTCTACATCAGGTACTCCAACTTCTTCAGCATCATCCAGGGACATAATAGGAGTCAAGAGATTTCTGAAATGCAAGTTAGAAGTCTGGAGTTGAGGATTACTTACCGGTCACAGAGAACTGTTTGTAATTCTTCGAAATCTAGCAACTATTTCCCAAGAACTATTCATAGTAGTTCTTTACGAACACCTATCATTCTTTATCACATTCTGCTCCATCGTGATGCAGAATGATGAATAAACTTCCAGTGAATTTTCTTTGCAGAATTGTAAACTTCAATGCCCTTTCATATTTTTATTTAAGTCACTAGCTGCTCCGAAAATTACTTCCATAGTCACTATTAAGTTATAAATGGTTGTCCTCTACGCCTAATAAATCTTTGAAATTCTTGAAGAAAGCGATCAGTTGACAGTGGAAATCAGCTCGCGATGTACCGCTGTATATACTCCACATGTAAATACACATATCCATGCATTCTTCTGGGTTGGCTTCCCTTGGCTTTTCTGGTACAAAGGAACAGGGATTTCTACACCTGTTACTTCTACAGCCTTGGGCAACTTGGATGGTATGACAACCACCTAAACTCCAACATTGCTTTCTAAGAAATGACATGAGTTTAAATATTCATCAAAAATCAATCTGAAAACAAGAAGACAGTTGTTAGGAAAATTACTAGATGCCAAAACTCCTTCGCATCTTTCCGATAAGAAATCTTTGTTCTCAATCGTAGAACCCAATCTTCGACAACACAGGGTTGTAAGCTCGACAATCTAGAATCGCCCAAACTAGAGATAATTTCTTTTGGAAACAGAGTTAAGAACTTGGTTTCAGCTCCTATATATTCTTCATAGGCCAAATCACCGCGGATATGTTGATTTTTTAAAATGTGCCTATTCTTCTTGAATCGTAATATCCGAATCAACATATGCAATAATGCGAATGTACTTCGAAAAACATCTTTAATACCAATTTATATTTTCCAGTTGAACACTCAGTATGATTTAACACATTTTTTCTTTTCCGCTGAACTTTTCCTTTCTCTTACTCTATTACTGACAAAAACTGACCACAGGTCATCACAGGAGATCAAAATAAGAACCGTTGTTTAATCTGTCCAAAACAAAAATTCTATATCTTCTGATTTAAGGGTTTCCGTTACTGACGTATACAGTCTAGCTCCAGTTGTAGCTGATAGCAATTCCAGTCTTGGTATGCTATCTTCACAGAAGCATTTATTGGTCTTTCTTATAGTAATTGTACAGATATCCTGTGCTTTGATTAACATCTGATAAACACTGCGGCAGCATACGCTTGTTGACTGGCATTACAGAATGTATCCAGACTCAGTTTAACATCTCTGGCTCTCACCAAACCATCTAGGTACTTTTATACCGGGTAAATATGGTAAGGTCCTTCATTCACTACTTCATCTTCTTTAAATTTCTAGTCTTCTGGACTAAGCTCTACAGTGTCAGAGATTCCATAATAATCCCAAGCATTTGACTTGTTGGTTTCAAGTCCACAAGTTTCTAAATATTTGTGTTTCCAACCTATAAAATCTAATTGTGCTTCTCTCATAACCTCGTTAGCTTCTTTTATAAATCCTTCAAGTTCTGGTTTGTCTTCACGCTGTCAATGCGGGAAGACATACCACGCAACATAACAACTACCTTTAGTTATTAACATAAAAACGTTAAAAATTAGTCGATTATGACGCAAAATTTGCAAATTTCCTTCTGTGACAAACAACAAAAAACGGAAGTAAACATCATCTCTCCATTTGCGCAAATCTGCAAAAATACTCTTCTTATGTCTATTATAATACTTATTTTCCCATATTGAAATCTCATCAGTATAGAGGGTATATATTCTATTATGTTTATTGCTGTTTCCAAATAATCATTCAATGAAGTGCTTTTGGGAACCTTCGTTGTTGCATAAAAAGACGGTCTGATCTTAGTTGTACTATTTATTTTCTTTCAAAGTGTCAAAGTTTCAAAGTTGAAGATAATGTCCATGTAGAGAATGCTTGGCTTCTGAAACTATTTCAACCATTCTTCGAACATTTGTTGATAATATAAAAGCTAACCATCTTTTCCCAGCTTTTAAAACGTAGAATCCAGTCTTCTCACAACTAACTGATAATTTCCAGGCAAAGGATATTGAACTTCTGTTATTGTTGTTGTCTTGGCCAAACGTTTGTGTAGAAAGGTCAAATAGGGCCATTGGACTTCATAAAAGTTCTTTTCCTTCGCCTGTAAAGAGTGTTTCCTGGGAGATTTGATACAAGTAATAGTTCAATAATCTTCGATCTTTTTGCATGTCACTTGTAATAATATTAGAAGTTGCAAGTTCTGCAATCCATGTTCAATAGCTATATCGAGGGATGTCATCACAAATTATTTCTTGATCTAATGCTTGAAGATCGCAAAAATACCTAACATCAAAACAACATAAATAAATCTAATAAAATTTATGTTTCGATTCATTTGTTACTGTTCCTCCAAATAAAAATGTAGTGCAATTTACTGCAATTAAAACGCGTTGTTCTGTTTCGATTTCGTTTCATATGAAATTCGTTATACCATCAAGGCGATCTTCTGATGCTCTTCAAACTGATTGTCTTTGCCAGATTCTTAACAATTCTGGAACACATGATTCCATTAAGGGAACTAGAATAGCATTACATGTTTCAGTTGCTACACTAAGTGATTCTGACGCCTTCAAATGAGATTCTAATCTGTTATACAAAGCTGAAAGATAAGAAGCGGAATCTGCCGTTGTATTTTGAAGGATATTGACAAAAGTTCTCTAATGTAAATTTCCATAAATTAATCCATTTTTTCCATAATCTTAAATTAATCCTTTTTTCCATAATCTGGGAGATATGCTCCAAATAATATTTCATATAATTTTAAAGCTTATCTTACCTTCGGATATTTATTTGCAGCCGCAGGATACCCATCTACTAATTCTCTAGCACGAGAATTTATCACAGTTGATTGAATAAGATAATGAAATTTATCCGCAGGATCTATATTATCACCTTCATTTCTTAAATAAGGCCCAAAATATCAACCATTCTTTGATATTTCCATCAGATTTAACTCATTTCGGGGAAGTTTAAACTTCTCTTTCTGCGAAATATTTACACTATCAGAAGAATTTGCCACACTGTCAACACCAGTTTCTTTATTTTTTTTTTTTATCTAAAGTTATTTTAATTTTAAAATAATTACTTGAATACTGTTTAACGGACTTTCGGTTTCGAGTCTTCTATTTTGTTAGCTTCTAACATCTCATCCATATACAAGATTTATGATTCTTCAAATTGTTTCTGTAAAATCCGAAATTTTGATTGCATTTCGACAATATCAATCCTCTATGTTGATGTCTTCATATATCTCATTAAGAATCCGCGTGAATGAATGTTTTGCTACTTTCCACGATATGATGATTTTTTCTATGTTTACAAATAATGTCCTATCACGGACATATTAATATTCTGGAAGTACGGATTATTTTTAGTGACTCCACTGAGTCATGTTATGTGGCAAGAAAAATTCACTTCATAATAGTAACCAATACATAAATTTATTTTCAGAAAATTTAGATTTGTTACAAGTTAGAGTTTTATATACCCCTACCTTCCAAAAGTAGACCTCGCTATTGCCAATACGATGCAGCTAAACATTGACATCAAAAGGTGTGGCTCGTCAATATAGAACAGGATTCACTAATAATTAAAAATGACAGTTTCTGGCTTTCTTAACGTTACAACATAGTATCTTCATTTTTGCTGTGTTTGTCCAACAGGAAATATCTCTCTTAAAATCCAGTACTTTAAAAGGCAAAATATTTAAAATGAGCTAGCTGTAGCGCCTTTGGAAGTATTTTTCTTGCAATCGTTAATTAAAACAAATAAGCCTATCGTTCGTTCATTTACACATGAGTCTTCAAGATTTTCAGTTTCTCCGCTCAGACAATGAATTTCAATCCTCCAGTTTTTTTATGTCATATCCATGGAGCTGAAAAATTTCCCATTCAGAGGTTCGATTCTAATATGTATGCTTTTCCTTTCATTAAATCATTACTAAGAAGTGCCGCCCTGGTCAATGGAATGGTTAGAAATGCTCAGTGCCGTCAGCGATTGCCTGGGGTCAAGTACGGGAGAATGTTTGAATGTTTGTACGCGTATAATTTCTTTTCAGCATGGGACACTTAAACCATCCAGCGTGCAGAAAGTTTTTCGAATGGTTTGATGGCAGGGTTGGGAGACACTCGGATCCATTCCCGGAGAATGGTCCTCCAAAACTGGAGCGGAACTGGACAATGTCTTACTGCGCTTACAATAGGCCCAATGTCTATGCCAACGGCAGATACAATTTTGCGATACTTGTCGTGATAAAATTCGTGGAACTATTCTAATTTTGCTGTCAGACAAGTGAGGCAAGTTACAACATTACCAATAAGTAAATTAGGAACTCATATTTGCTTGGAACATTGAATAAAACTGGTCCCAAAATCGTGAATTTTCCGTGCTGAATTCTAGATCGTCTTCATAAATGCATTTCATAATTATTAAAGCATTCTTTTGTGAAATTTTTTATATTTCAAGAATTCTTTCACGGCTTCTTTTGCAAGATAGAAATTATTTTTGAAGCAGAAAGAGTTTGGAGCATATTTAGCTACATCTTAAATAAAAATAATAAAGTTTAAAACCTTAATTTTAACTTAAAAATTTTCGAAAAAATTTCAAAAACTCTTTATGCTCTATACAGTTAACAACAGCGTTTTCTTTTATAAGCAGTGCAATAAATGACTGTGAAAAAGATGTAAGTAATGTAATCAATTTCGTAAAATACTGAGGGCATAAATCAGGCAGTAAAAAACTAAGAGAAAGGAAGTTTCGAAAGGACATGTTGAAAAACTGGTTTGCTGGATTGTCCTAAAGATTTTGATACCATATAATATAAAATGATGTAATAAAATTAATTATTTTTATCTGGGTCAGGTTCAGATACAAAATTTTGGAAAGTATAACTGAGAAAATGCTTTAAAATGTGGCGTATAAACGAGAGAACTTAAGGTATTATTTTCATATCTTTCACCTGTAAAATTCATCATTTAAACAAGAGAAGAATATAAACCAGAAGTCTACAATTTAGAGTTTATCGTATTTAATATGTGTAAATACACATACATTTTAGTTAAATTAGTTAGGTCAAACCGATACTTACTAATTCGGTTAACATCTTTTCAATTCGCCAATATCAGACCTGTTTGCGAAAATTATTTGCGAAAAAATATCCAAATATATGCAGGTTACTAACCAAAGAACATAACAAATTGTTTTAAAAAGTTGAAATATAGCCTGTTTATGTGTGAATAAATATTCTGTGAAAATTGTTTACCTTGGCAATTGCTTCGGACTCCATTGTCCGTCTACACAGGTAGCACCAGGGGGACCGTCTTTCAAGGTATAGTGACGATGGCACTCATACATTATCTGCCGGTTATTCGTGACTCTTTTTACGTAAGGTCTATAATCATACATTCCCATGTATCCCACCAGCAAAACTCGACCATGTTCCAGCACACCAGGATAAGGGCAATAAACTAAAAAATAAAATGAAATGTAAATATGAATTAAAGAACATATGCTCAAATTTTCATCAGATGACGTGAATTGTAAAGTTAAAAATACTTGATGATACTTGATACGCAATGATAGAAAAGAAAATGATATTTGAATTAGATTATTTTAAAGTGTTATATATATATATATATGTGTTTTATATATATGTATATATTTTAAAGTGTTTTATATATACATAGAAAATCACATAGTCAAATTTGAAGAAAAGAAATTAGGATTTAAAAATAGCAGCGTTTAACATTCTTAACCTCTCACATACTTTCAGTTTCAGCTGGTTTCAAACACTAAATGATCTGTGTACCGTCTAAGACACTATAGAGTTTTTAACTAACTAAACCTCACACTGGATTGCAATACTTTGAATAGTTAAACATATAGATTTATGCTGGAAAATATGATTTATAAGGAATTGTAGAAACCAAATGATATTTTTCAACGGCGGTTTTGAAACTGCAGTAAGAATTTCTGATTATCTTATAATGTAATATATCAATTCTATATGAGAATACACACTAAAATGCGTGTCTTAAATATTTAGCACAAAACAGGAAAAAGAAGAAATTTGTTATTTCGTCTATAAAAGAAATACTTTTCATTTAAGAAATTTTATTACATCATATAAATTTTTAGGGCTTATAATTTTTCTACACGGAGTTAAAAATTTTTTCTGGGAATTGATTTTGGAGATAAAAAAGAAAAAGGTTTCGAGCACTGAAAACAACAAGCAAAATAACAAAGAACAAATAAAATAACAATTTTTAAAAAATTTGGTATTTAATTAGTAATTTCGCGGTATGAAACAAAATAACTGATAGATACAGATAAAAACATACGTTTTCGGAAAATATATATGTATACTCCTAACGCACATTTATTAAGCATAGGTACATAACTTAAAACAATTGGAAGGATAAGGTCAATATCTTTTGGACAGAGAAATAGGTTTCAAAAGCACACGACTCTTCTTCTTTACATAGATCAATTTTCGGTAATGCAGATCTTCATAGCTTTCTATAGAAATTCTTCATAGCCTTCTATAGAAATGGACATATAACTTTTATTTTATTAAGTTTTATGTAGCCAAAATATCTTCTAATTTTTCCTATATTAGTCATATATGGTGTAGAAGGTAATAAGACTGAAACAATTGAGCCTACTGATTGCCACATATATTATAAACATTCACAAATGAATACGCAGCTGGCAGTAGAGAAAGTGATTACTAGCATTTTATTTATTAATTTATACGCATTTTGTTATTTTACTGCAAAATATGAATGAAGAAAACTATAGCTATAGAGAATCTAGGGTTAGAAACAGTAGAGCTTATCTAATTTGATTTTGGAAAGCTTTTGATTATTCGAACGCTCAGTACACCAGTGGAATAAGCAATAAATTTCTTACTCATATAGTAATAAAGAGAAGACGAAAGTGAAGCAGAATGTGCAGGGCTCGATAGTTATGAGGAAGACCTGAATGAGATGGATTATGATGAAATACTGGATTCCAAGGTTTTAGAAACTTCGAGAAAGGTATTGGTTAGAAGATTATGTATTTTTTAAGACTAATTAATCGTAAATTTGAAACGCTGCTGTTTGTAAATACTTTTCAATTAGTTTTCTATGAGAACCGCACAGGGCAACTACACAAAACAGAAATCAGTTTTCAATGTGGCTTTAATACTATCTTCATGCATTCTTCTTGAAATCCATTAATACTGCTTTTCCTCATAAAACTAATAAAAATATATATTAAAATCCCTTCTTCCCAAGTATTAATATAGCGAACGTAGGCTGACTCCACTTGACCGTATGAAAAATCTCTTATTTCTGCCTTTTTCTTCCAAGAAGATGCAGTCAGGTTTTTCTGTGACATTCTTGCCGGACATTATTCAGAAGTTTCCAATATGAAAGCGGCATCCGGCAGAGTCCGTGATTCAATTTCCTGCTGATTTTGTCTTCCCTCTCTTTGTGTAGTAGCAAACTTGTATTCGGTTAGCAGCGAATTCTGAGGGCCATTTATAATGCCATCCTCTGCTACTTTAAAATCGCCGAGAAAACTAAAGTTAGGCTTTCTTTTGGAACCAATTTCAGGTTAAGGGTGAGTTTTCTTTCCAGAAATTTTATATGGTCTTTCAAATGTAATATATAGGATGTTGTCTTTCTTTTTTGATGCTGGTGTCGAAAGTGAGACTCTTCTTTCTCATAACTTACTCTGTGCTACATTCATTGTCTTGAGCAGAGAAATATTACAGGCTTTAAAATTTGTTTCAGATATTTTTTCTATATCAGTCCATAAAATAGATCAAAATTAGAATAGAAAGACATTTTATTTACAGTAGCAGGTCAGTAGATTACTCAAACTTTTAATTATTTTCAGCTATAGCCATACTGTTCATCCTTTATCGCTAAAACAATGTCTAAGAGAATTTTGTTACATATATGTGATGAAAGAGACGTAACAATGGACGTATATCCATACTGAAGAGGGAACTTGACAACCCAGTAAGATTAAATGTTAAAATTTATTTCAATCGATATCTGCAGCCACAAATATATAAGATAAAAAATACATAAATCTCATATAATTTATACTAACTATAGCCCTTAATTCCACTCTATTTTACAAATAGTAATAACCTTTCTGGACATGCAGATAAGGAGGCATATTTTATTCCACTTTTGCAGATATTTTATCGAACTCCAATTAGGGAACAAATTTTCCATTGAGGTTTGTAACATGGAAACAAGATTTATTTTTTAATACACTTTAAAATCTCATAGATGAATTTTCCATTCGCAATCACGACATCCTGTCGACTCATTGTAATGAAGAAAACATAGTAATGTTGATGACGTAAAACGTACTGAACGAAAACGTATCCATACTGAAGAGGAAATTTTGCAGTCGAGTAAGATTAAATAATCAACTTCTTTTCAATTAACATTTGCAGCCATAATTACAAATCGTATCTATTAAAAAACATTTACATTTTTGATACTGATGCGACAAGAAGAGAGCAGAGCGAAATAGCGTTTTAACAGGAAGAGAGCCTCAAGCTAATGTGCACAGCTATCCAATATGGGAGTTAATCAAGAGAAAGCTTGGGTTTAGGTTGCTTAAAAGAAAGATTTCAGTTCTCGAAATTTTGAATTCACGTTCAGGATTAGCTATCTTAACAATATTATGCAAGCTATATTATATAGACTGATCTATAAATGATGCAGTCAGAAATATTATTACTATTTTTAGAATAAAGAGGAGGAATGAAGAGCTATAGCTAGTTTAAATTATAATTTTCAGATTTAAATATTTTTTTATCTTACATATATAGTAAAGAAAACAATTATCGCGTTCGCTAAAGTATCCCAGCTGTTAATGTACAACTAATTCATGAGATTTAATAAAAGAAAAAAGAATTTTATTGTTTTTCCTCAGTATGATATTTCAGAAGAAATTAACACATAAAAAACTCATTTTATACATTTCATGCCAACGAAGATAATAAATAATTAAAACATAGCTCTTAATCATTTAAAAAATGATTTAAAAACTAAAATTCAGACATGTTAACATTCGTTTTTATCAAACATTATATTCAAATTGTTATGAGAAAATATTTATTTTATGCTCCGGAAAAGTCTCAAAGGACTCTTGATAAATAATAAATTTTCTTTACTTATTAAATATTTAAGTTTTTGAATTTAATGAGAGTTAAACAAACGAGAAAGATAATAGGATCATCATTTTATATAGCATATATTTTGAGTTACTGATTACTAAGGCTGCATAATTTAGTATCACCAGCAAATATAACAAAAAGAACACACCGAAGGAAAATGGTAATGATTCTAATAATTAACATTGACGTAGAAACATATTAACGCAGAAATAATTGAAGAAAAGTATTATTACGTTAAGTAACAGTCTTTAAAAAACGTATTTAATCGTTAATTGCAATAAGTTTTTCTCGATAATTGTCCAAAATATCGAGACTGAAACAAACGGCATAGACAAAAGCAGCCTGACCATAAAGCCAAATTATCAACTCTTGAAAGGCTTCGGTATTGCTTTCGGAGATGATATTTTAAAATGTTTGATTAATGTTTCGAATAGACTTATGCTTAATAAGTTTCAAGGCCTGTCTAGGTTGATTTGAATTTGAGGAATATTTAGGGGCACCTACGTGGAAGTGGAATTCGTATTAAACGAATTCGAAACCTCCAGCAGGAAGAAGATCACTATATATTGGAGTCAATTGTGAAGTTTTATGAAGGCATTATTAGGAAAATCTGAACCCGCTTAGCACTGCCGTGAAGTGCTTGTTTGCTTTTATAAATACACACATCCCTGAGCACCACTCAGTTTTGGTAATTATTTATCGTTCTCCTTAAATATTCGATCTATTTTTCTGTGTGATTATGGCAAAGCCTCGAGGGCTATCAGCCTAAAGGGAGGGATGCCTTCGTGGAGGACTTTCTAAGGGAAACTGGCTCGTATACACGTTACACATGGGGAAAGCCACGAAAACGCCCATGCAGCCAGCCCGTTCGCGGGATTCGAACCTCGGACCGAACTACCAGAGTTCAGCGACTTTACCGCTCGGCCGATGGTGGGCCCTATTTTTCTGTGACTTAGCTTTATTTTCAGATTGAAAATGAATTAAAAGCATGACATTTTCGGAACCATGTATGACAATCAAAGAGAATCCTAAGGTTTCGATAGTTTTAAAGAAAACAACTTTCATGATGCTCTGAAGGCCTGAAAAAAACTGATGGTATTTTCTGCATGCGTTTATACTTTGAGAAGGTGACAGCCAAAGCAGTCAAATAAACACTGGATTTAGTTTTGCTTTAAGGCTCGAAATTTTCCAAGAGTCCTGGTATTTTTCTCTTGGATTTACTAAAGCATAGAATAAAAGATATCTGCAATCTATGTATATCATATACTATTTGATTCA